ATTGGAGTCCTGGAAGAGAAGGCGGTATGGAGGGTACTATCATCCGCGAAGCTGTGTACTGGACATGAAGTTGTTTCCAACAAACTCCGTCGACCACTTCATGGAGAGACCTGTTTAAGAGAATACTAGCTAGCAGAGAACATAGCTGGGGAAGCAAGCCATAAGATGTAAGCTTGGCGAGGAGTCAGAGTGGTGCCAGACTTTATCGAATGCCTTGGAGATATCAAGTGCCACGGCTAAGATTTCACTATATTTTTCAATAGATTGCTGCCATATATGTGAGACGTAATCAAGCAGGTCACTAGTTGATCTCAGATGACGGAAGCCATATTGCAAATCGTTGATAATAGATAATACCTGAATGTTCCAGGTATTTCATGAGATCGATGTTGACAGCTTTCTCCATGATCTTTGAAATAATAGATAGAAGTGCGATCGGTTTGTAGTTGCTAGGTAGGGTCTTTTTGCCTTTTTTAGGAACTGGTTGTACTCTTGCAATTTTCTAGTTGGACGGGAATATCCCCAATTTGTAAGAGTAGTTGAACAACTTGCAGATAACAGGTGTTAGTTCGGGAGCACATTTCTTGAGAAAAATCGGTGGGATTCTGTGGGAGCCACAAGCTTAGTTGGTGTTGAGACCCATCAAAATCTTCCTTATAGCTAGACTAGAAAGACGCGAAACGCTATTAGAATAGTTATTCATTCACAAAAAGCATCGAATATCAACTTCCATGGCATGTATCCTTTTTTTGAAGCGGCAAAAATGTTTAGGATCAATCATCTACGCAAAATTTGGTTTTTTGAATATTCGGGTGGACTCCATGCTCTAGTTCTACGCTGTTCTTCCAAAAATTGCCCATGCATAATGGGTCATTGATAGGCGGACACTTATTTGAAGTGTCAACTCTATATATTCCCGTTAGTCAGGGTCACCGCGTACCAGGAGACCAAATAAGTAAGGAAACCAAAGAAGGAGGGAATCCAAAGAGATGGAAAAATCAAAGATGGGCGGAAGTCAGAGGAATAAGGGAATCAGAGAAGATAGGAACTCAAAGAAGGAAGGGATTCAAAGAAAGATGGAATCCAAAGAAGATTTTTCTCGTATTGTCCAAAATATATTGGGAATACTGACCAGCTTTTTTTTTTTTTTTTTTTTTTTTTATCGATTGGAGCGCACGAAAGGGAATCCCTATAATGTTCGAAGAACATCGTGCGTTCCTAGGGAGGATAGGGACAGGAGGTAGGTATTGGAATTTTTTTTGAATTTTTGGAGATTATATATGTTCTTGGGAATAATGAATTCCAGAGCCTAGCCGTTCTATGGATGAAGGAGTCTTGATAAAGTGCTGTTCGACATCTTTCGAGGTTGACAACGAAAGGATGTGCTGACTGGGCTTGTCTAGTTCGTCTGATTGGTATTGCTAGTGAAGGGATGATTGCAGAGATTTCCGAAGAACATTTCCCGTGGAAGTATCGATAGAAAAGTGAAAGGTCGCCGACCTTTCTACGGTGCTCCAATCATGTCAAAGAGTGAGTGAGTGTGGCGTCACCCACCAGGCGAATGGCTCTTCTCTGGATGGAATCTAAGAGCATCAGCGTATGTTTTGGTGCTGAACCCCATATGTGGGAACAGTATTCTAGAACAGGGCGTATCTGCGCTTTGTAGATCATGAGAAGCTGTTGAGGTGTAAAGTAGCTTTTCGCACGGAACAGGAATCCGAGTTTTTGTGAAGCAGCTTTTGCGATGGATCTGACATGATTATCCCATGAAAGAGTGTTGCTGATGGAAATACCGAGCATAGATATGGTGGGCTTGGTGGGGATGGTGGAGCCAGACATTACAATATCGGGCATACTGAGTTCCGCTATAGAAGTTATAACTTCCTATACGCACACAAGTTTTTTTTTTTTCGAGCTCAATTGTGAATGCAAAAATCACGCAAGATGTGAATTTCTCAAGGTGCCCATGGTCGATGGGCTGAAGTACCCATGCAAGTATCAAAATATAATCAGGGGATCACCGACCTCTCACAATGCTGATCTAATAATTATTCTTTTATAGTTACATTGTAAATTACAAATGTCGAATTGAACCCGTTCAGATAACTGAAATGCGCTGAGAAATCATTGAAACTGCCAAAAAAAGGAACTAATATCAGTAAAAAGTACCGATAAACATTCAACAGGAATCAGAATTATTATATGTTTAACAATTTTTACCTACTATCCATGTGTAATGTGGAATATTACGACACTGATTTCAGTTTCGTGATGAGATACTTAACCGCACTAGTGCAGTGAAGTATTATTACTTTACAGCACTAGTGCGGTAAAGTTAAAAAAATAATTAAAATTTCATTTGCATGTTTACTCAAAAGCAAAAGAAGTATTTGATCATAAACATAGCGAGTACTAAATTCTGAATTGTTATTCATTCTCCTTAAATTATATATATGAATCTATACGTGAACGGAATTCATGTAGATAAATGTTTTTCTGATGACCTACTTGGAATACGTATTATTTCGCATCTTGTTCAGCAGCTATTTAATCATAGATTTTCACAAAATTTCACCGTGGACAAGATTTCAATTTAAATGGTGCGTGGTTCCTTGTAGGAAATAAAATGAGCTTCATTTCATGTAATAAACTACAACATCATTTACCAGCCAGAGATAAACACTATAATTTATAGTTATTCAACGATCAATATCTATACAATGTAGTAGTATGTTCTTTGTTGGCCATGTACCTCCATATACGTTTTCTTAGTCGTGCCATCATTTTTGATTGAAACGCAACAGTGAATCATGCAGAACTATCCCCAGCCGATGCTCCTATTACTTTTCTAATTCTAGCTGATTCATTTGTCCTATATTTTCACTTCAACTGATTCATGAATAGATAAATGTGGCAAGGAAATCAATACTCAATAAAATATTAATACATTTTTATTTCTTCGAAAAATTCGTCGAATGTTCATCAATTTGAAAATATGAATCCAACAAGAATTATACTTGCACACTTTATTGTCTCTGATATGTTCATGTGTAAATCAATCCTCAATGAACTCTCGTTGAATACATAATATCGTCACAGATTGGTATGATGAGTCTAGGTTAAATAGGAATATAAACTTACTGTACGTTCTTATTCATATTAACAAAAACAAGAATTATTAAATATATATTAGGTACCGGATGATCATTTGATCACATGATCACTGAAGAAGCGGGAAATTTTACTGAAAAAATGATATAGGTGAGCCTTATACCGGGTGTCCCATTTTAATCTTTATTTGGAAATTTCTCGAAATGTATGCATCTGACAAAATAAATTTACGCATAAAAGTTGTATGGTTTGGAGGGGGACGTCTGGTTATTGAACAAGTTTCACCCCCTGACCCCCACGGGAGTAAGAAATGGAGGTAACATTGAAATCTTTAATGGAAACCCCTATTTTTTATTGCAGATTCTGGAAGAGCATTAAAAACTATGAAGCTTTCATTCGGAAACTTCTTTTTTATTTTCACAAGATGGCGCTGCGATCGTAAAAAACAATATTTCACTATTTACACATTTCAACCCCCTGAAGACGAGGAAGAGTGTAGGGTATGATATTTTCCCAGACAAACGCCATTAGGGTGATATTCACACGACAAATTAACGCTAAACGAACTTACTTACCTTGACACCTCTACATAGAAAAGAGAAAAATAAGCATGTTTCAGCAATTAAGGTATCATTTAGGTCAGACTAAAGCTGGTTTTAAGTGAGATTGACTACTTTATCAAGTGTTCAAAATGACCTCCATTTTCTTGAATATACGAGTTCACTCGTTTTTCAAAATTCCGCACTGTCGCTTCCAACATAGCAGGCGTTAAAACCATGCACGCTCCTCTAATTCTATGTTTCATATTCTCGCCTGTGGTTGGGGGTTTGCGAAACACAATGTTTTTGATGTAACCCCACAGAAAGAAGTCTGGGGAAGTCAAGTCGGGTGATCTGGGTGGCCAACTACAAACTAAATAGTAAAATATTGTTTTTCAAGATCGCAGCGCCATCTTGTGAAAATAAAAAAGAAGTTCCCGAATAAAAGCTTCATAGTTTTTAATGCTCTTCCAGAATCAGCAATAAAAAATAGGGGTTTCCATTAAAGATTCCAATGTTACCTCCATTTCTCACTCCCCTGGGGGTCAGGAGGTGAAACTTGTTTTATAACCAGACGTCCCCCTCCAAACCATACAACTTTTATTCGGCAATTTTTTTTGTCAGATGCATACATTTCGAGAAATTTCCAAATAAAGATTAAAATGGGACACCCGGTATATGTATAAGGGTCTACTGTCTAGTTGAAGGGAATTGATGTGATAGCAAAGAATATATACCTTATTCTCTAATGATATATAAAATAATAGTGGTATTGTTTGTGTGTATCATGAAACATTGTGGGACCAGTTTTTTTCATATTTCAAATCGATCTGCTTTATATAGATGTGATTTTTGGAGTCCGCATGCATCAGCTGCTGGATGTACTGAGTGTTTATACAAAGATTTATATGAATATTGATATTAAAACTCTGCAATCATTTCTACAATTTTTCGTGTTTCAAAACGAAGTATAAAGCGTCCATTCAAAAAGAGTTGCAAAAATGAGACTGTGAAAATTTTGACTTCGATTTCTTTCAATCGCGTGATACATTCCCCATCGAATTACATATTATGTAACAATGTATTTTCGAACATAATTCAGATTTCCCATTTGGTCTAAGAAAACTGAACTGTCTTTTACATTTTCGAAAGAAATCATCAGATATTGTAATCAGGATTTCGGTAAACAGTTTGAATCTTTGTGTATGCACTTTTACCTATCCTTCATTGATTTTCATCAATATTCTGAACCACCGGTCGTTTTCCAATTTTACAAAAATCAAAATAAATATAAATAATGTCTATGTACATCATAAATAAAAATGGAAACTCATCACTCGGTTTTCATTTTCATTCCAGTGGTTTCCATTGTACTATCGCTCGTTGGTTGTCTGGGGCAAGTCCAAATGGTTTGGAATTATCACTCGCAATGTACTGGTTCACTTGGTAATCTAGTATTGTCTGGTAATGATGGACTGTTCCAAGTTGCTGAAATTGAGGAAAATGGACTTGAATTACAGAATACTGTATGTACAATGTACAATGTACCTATGTATGGAATTTCCAGTTTTTCATGTCTAATCTTACTATATACTTTTGATGAGACAATTGAAAAAAGCAATTTCCTTATACATAAAGAACGAATTCTGGTTGCTAGCATATAGTTTTCGTCAGACAGACAAGAATGTATTCATTCATGGTTTTCGTGAGAAAACGATGCCGTCGATCTGAATTTATAAATTGTTGGATCTAATCAGCTTGAAATACTGTTTGATGGTTTGACCGTTGTCTGCTATATATGGAGAAAAAATCTAGTCAACGGTAACTAATGGTCTGCTCTATAGCTCACTTGAGTGTATGACCACCAGAGGAAGTTACTGTATCGGACAAAATAATCTTCACTTTTTTCTCGAAAATGTTCAAAATTTGTGGTTATGTAGGTTGTCAGTATCAAGAGCTGTCATGCCATCGTGACTTGTATTGTATATTCTCCTAAAAAGATCTTTCTTTTTCAATTCTCATTGTTCTAATATTCCTTTCGTTTATAGATATAGTTTTGTGTTATTGTGCTCCCAGTATTATAGTACAGTTCATTCTGATTGATAATTTGTTACAAACTCTGTCTCAGAACATGTGATACCGTCTCCATTCATGGATTTCCAAGTGATATTTATTTGCGACATAAGTGGCTACATTCTATATTGAGTGTTACAGGCTCATCACAAGTAAGATAATATCAGGGCCCTGATCAAAAGCTACTACTGATTCTACCTCTCATTTAATTTTGATGTTGAACGTTATGAAATAGGATACGGGGACTATTGTAGTGTCTGTGCAACCATTCAAATAGGAATGATATTTTGAATTTTTGAGTGACTGAGGGACCGTGACCCGTGTCTATGTCGTGACTGAACTCAAACTCACTGAACAAACTACGCCGCCGGCCGAGACTGCCCAGAGCACCTCTGAGGTAGCTGCTCAACTTGTTCACGATTTTCAAGATGTTAGTTTGACAGGAAAACAATTGGAGTAAGTGTTTCCTCGAGTTGACCGTATGGCGGCACTACTGTATCGGCCACAGAAACCTACTACTACACTATATTACAGCTCACTAGATTTTTTTCCATATTTAGCAGACAATGGCGACAGATACCAGCTCAGGTGGATTTCAATACCTGCGTAATATTCAGGGTGATCATGACGATGGAAGCATGAAATTTTAATTTTTCCGAAAAATATTGCTTATTCCTTGTTGCATTGTAACTCACTTGTGTTAGAGGGCTGGTGTTTGTGGTGAATACTCCTTTGAATCTGCGACTCTTTGCAAGCTTCAGAACTTCGTTTTCGGTAAATTGCATCACCGCTACATTTTCCTTTGGCGAGAGAGACGAGTGTGTGCCCATCATGAAGGCATGTAATACTGTACCCTTGCCAGGAGGCAGTTGATTATCCCTGAAAGAGTAAATTAATGAACTGGAACGGCAATTACAGCTTGGCAGGATTTGTCTAGAAATTCTCTGTGTCTCTGTTGAAGTATGGGCCGTGTAGATAATTGAAAGTTTAAAGGGCGCCGTACATTATGCTATTTCTCGGCAAGTTTGAGGCAATGCAATTTTCTCGCAATGTTCTCAATCCATTGCAAGTCGCCGTACATTGGGATATTTCTGTCATATTTTCTCGTTCATATTCACTATTTTCAGATTTTTTGAGCCTTCAATAAACTTTTCGAGGTTATTTGGTGTTTCAGGCCACGTTATGGAGAAAATTTGTATCTTATCAAGATGCTATGATGAATATTACTACAAATTTCACTAAACTTGCATTGGAATTGCAGGAAAAATAGGACTGGTTCTATTACGAAACTTGCATGAAACTTGCCGTGAAATGTCATAAACGCACGCGCATTGTTCGATTCAAAATTGCATTGCATCGAACTTGCTGGTAAATAGCATAATGTACGGCGCCCTTAATTGATATAGATCCACTCTGATTCTGAATGACTGTAAATATTTTCATGGTATAGCGAATGTGGAAACGAAAATATACCTACTCAATAGAGTCACAAATATGAATAGAACAAGAGTAAGGAAAGCAACAATCCCTGCTTTTACTGTTCCAGAAACAGTATTTGGCATGACATTCCGAAATAAATGAAATCACTGAAAGTGACAGATGCTTGCGAGCAGACATACTATTCATTCTAAATATTTCGACTGAACATTCTGGGGACGATCAAAAGGTAGGATCATTATTTTGGAGGGGTAAAGAATGTAACATTCATTTCCGTTGGTAATGATATTATTTTCAATATCAGAAGATACCTTTTATTGAAATAATAAACGCTGAGAATAATATGGAGTATGAAGTGGTAGAGGTAACGATAAAAGGAGTAGCATTGGCTAAATAAATATCTAAATAAACCTCAAATGTCTCCTATATTATTCATCATGAATGCCATATTACATGAATGTCCAAGTATTCTTCATCACTCGAGCTTGAATTGTCATCGTCAACAATCAAAGAAACTATGGAGGCTACAAGAATCGATTGCTCTTCCATGTTAAATAGTGAATTTCCAAAATTTATATCAAGCAGGAGGCTGAATTATCTTATTCAGATAAACGAAAAACTATATACAGACTGACAAATTTCACCAGCTGATCAACTGCTGCTGACTACTGATGAAAACAATGACTTGTTGTGAATAACAGCAGTATATTTTTGATTTTTTATTTTGGAACACAAATTTTCAGCAGCGTCAGTGGATTTACTGATAGTACTGACTAGTTGAATTCGGAATATAGCCACACACACACACACACATATATAATAATATTATTAGATAAATTTACCTCACTGGTCCTTCGATAGTTTCCAAAAACTCGAAAATGATGGTGAGTTTCGAATGAATTTCTACTTCTGGTTCATCCCTAGCGTCGAAGTTGAATGCGACTCCGACAATTTTTCCTGTTCCAGATTTCACGACAAAGCTGAGGTTTTTCTCGATTAGCGGCTCCCATAGTTTGTCCACTAGTTCATAATACACAGACAAAGAAACTTCTGATTTGATCCATTGCTCTAGATCGGCCTTCTGATAAAAACTAGTAGCTATTATACTGAAATTATATTAGAGAAAAACACAATGAGTCAACATTATTTCAAAACATTTTCAATTGTAATTTAGAAAGTGTTTCTTGAAATTCATATTAGTGAATTCTATTTCAGAAAATGTATCTTGAATTTCAGTGCATTGAATTGTTATTCAGAAAGTATCAAATGTAATTCAGACATCACTTATAATACAGAACCCACCTGCGCTATCAATTTAAAAAAAAACAAACGGAAAAACAAATGGAATAACTAGGTACAAACATAGAAGAGAGGTTCATCTATGGTACAAATGATTCATTTTCTGTCGGCGAAGCATTATCATTTTCTTCAACAAATTTTGCGTAGATGTCGACTTGTTGACATCATACCCAGGTAACACGGAACTCTCCGCAATATCTCTAAGTAGTTATCTTCAGGATCAAAATGCGAAATCCTCCTGCGAGGTGTCAAAGATCACTATAGGCTCTCACCATGGGAAAACTCTGGAGTCGTCCGAAAGAAATCGCGGAGATCTCGCCTCAAATTTGATATATTCCTCATTATTGCGAATCCTTGAGGTTATCTATAACAGGAAATGAATAGGCATTTCTTTCTGCGAGCACCCAAGGATATCCTGGACGTAACAAGATCGAGAATTTCCCATTGCGAGCTCCTAAAGTAATCACAAACATAACCTGAATAATTAATGAATATTCCTACAAAAATATTGAGTTGTTTTTCTCAATAGCCTTTATAATTCAAATACTGGGTGTCCCAAGTTACCGTTTACAGGCAATATCTCGCCTATTTGTCAAGATATCAAAAGCATTAAAAAACTGCATTAAATGGCATTAAATAACCTTCCCAATGGTTTATGAAGAATGTGATATATTTGGCAGCCCCCGGATGGTAAATACTGATCAGTTTTTATTTTCTAGTAGCATATTGTCTCTGAAAATTGCGTGTCAATCTATTTGGAATACAACTATATAGCACATACTTGGTGTTTTGTTCTTGATAACAACAAAAACATGAACATTTTGTGACTTTTTTACGTTACTCAAATGACAAATGGCTTTCACCCATGTGTTCAAGAAGTTCACAAATAAGAAGTATGGATTGCATTTTTGTTTCAAAATATTAATGACAGATATTCCATTTTGAACTGCAGAACATCAACCATTGCAGACGGTACCTACCTAGTGTAATAATTAATCTAATTTCATTGTGGGACATTTTTACGAACATGGGAGGAGGCAATTTTCAATCTATGTAACGTAAATGAGGTCGCAAAATTTTATTGTTAATGTTGTTATTAATGAACAAAATACAAAGTACCGATGTGATATCGTTCATTCCCGAAATAGGATGATTGGCAATTTTCAATGACAATATACAGGGAGTCCATTAAATGAAAATTGAGGAGTTGCTACCAGGTGGCTGTCCAATCTAATACACTTTGTTTTGAGTCATAAAGAAAGTTCTCTGATGTCATTTGAAGCATTTTCACTATTTTTTGTTCATCTTGTCGAATAAGCAAGTTTTTGCCGGTACCTTTACGATAACTTGGGACACCCAGTATTAACATGAAATGGGAGTCATTAATCTATGATAATAATGATTGTATACTAGATACTAGATTTTCTTACTGTCTCAGAGAATGTGTTCAACAGCAGGTCATATTATTATCTCTCCGCCATTATGGAAGATTATTTCAAATTTTGCAGTGAATTAATGATTATTAATTATCTGCTATGACGAAAAAGACAAAAATGTTCTAATTCAGGTGGGATCGAGAATCAAATATCTACCTGAAATTCGTGAGTAGATATCGGACGACCTTTTTTTTCAAAGGATACCCGGCCAACTCCTCGGAGATTTTTTCAAGTGATAAAGTTTACTTGATCAATGTCTTGCTATAGAATAATATATAATTAAAGCTCATTACGTTGATCTAACTCTAAGTTTGGTAACTCAATCTTTTTCGCTGAAAGAAATATCCAGTAAATTTAACTCCACCCCAAACAATATAGCTGGCGCTAGTTAGACTTCGCCGACAGGAGACTGCTGATAACCAATGACTTCTCAAAAATTCAACACCTTCACCTTACCATATTAGTGGCGATCATGTGGCGATCATGTGGCGATTGATGCAAATATCGCTCTTAAAGGCCTCGTTATAAGGTAATGTGCACGGATTCTTGAACAATTCATAGTTGCGAGCACTTGAAGAGTTCGCTATTAGTAATTGATGCGAATTTCCCAAAGTTCTCTTCACAAGGCGATGCGTGCGAGAATCTCAAACAGCTCGTTGCCGCGAGCACTTAAAGACCTCGCCAGAAGCAATTGATGCGAATCTCCCAATGTTCTCGTCACGAAGCAATGCATGCGAATTTCTCAAACAGCTCATGATTGCGAGCACTTTCAGTTATCGCCAGTGGCGATGGAAGCGTATATCTCAAAGTGCGCGCCTGAGTGCATTGTATGAGAATCTTCAAGACCTCGCTGAGCTCAGCCTAGGTGGCGGACATTTGGCCTAGATATAGCACTCTCGGCGATCTCTCAAAGAAGCTACAAAAGGCATCACAATTTCCTTAAAGGATTTCTTCAAGATATCTTTAGGACCTCTTTGTGCTGGCTGGGTAGTAGGTATTCAGATAAAGAAGGAGCTTTACAAAAAAAAAGTTGAAAGTCTTTGGTGCCACCTTTCAAGTACCTGATGAAGAATTTCATTTGCATTTGTGTTTTCTAAAATCGGTGTTTTTCGAGTTATATTAGAAAGAGGCGTATAGTTATTGTGACTCTGTATCGTGTACTGTATAGTGTTCGTGTTTGAATGAATCGTTTGAAGTTTCCAACTAAGTGTTTATGAGAAACCAGAGATTAGTCAACCACAGAACTGTGGTTGACTAATCTCTGTGAGAAACCAAACACGAACATTATGGTTAGGTTGCACTGCGAAGAGATCCCGTCGCCATAACAACAAATTTATAAGGCGATGTCGCTAGACACCAGTAAACAATACAAATGAATGTCAGATGGACTTCAAAAATAGTTATTTATGTAATAAGGATCATAAAGACGATCATTATGGTACAAGTCGTGAATGTTATCGGGCGAGGCGTAGCCGAGTCCGATAACACGGCGTGTGCCATAATGATTGTTTATGATTCGTATTACATACAAAATTTTATCTGATGGCATTTATATCAATACATTTTCGAAAAATTAAAAACTGCATTTTCGACATGTCACAATGACAACTATTTTTAAAGGAGTAAGTATTGTGTAGTTTCAAATATTAGTAGGTGAGTGAGCTGTGCTTGGCATTATATTAATATTACAAATTGTAGTAATTGTTCTTTTACCATTTATAATGAATAGTTTTGTACATAGTTATGCATTTTGAATAAACTTTTTCGATCAAACCATTACATGTTTTCCTTATAGAATTTCATTATGGTACTTAGTACCATAATGAGCTTCCTTATGTCATCAAAATTGAGTGACATAACGTTGTCATTATGACATGCCATCAGATAAAAGTATAAATGAAACTGAACCAAAAAATACCAAATCCAACAGACAGAATTCCTTACTTCGTGAAATATTTCAATGATTTACATTCGTGCAAAAAAATGACCAGACAATTTCGCATTCAAGCGTGTTATCTTACACAAATTATTGCATTCGTTTATTTTCATACTTTGTAAAAGAGCCCTGTCCTTCTTCGGACTCGGGCTTTTTCGCCAAAATATGAAAATAAACTCCTGCAATTTTTTGATAACAGGCTTTCTTGAAGAATGGGCTTGTACACCTTAGTAGAACTTTTAACTCAAACCATGTTTATAATGATCCTTTCATACATAAATAATGATTGACGACATAATTCGATCGAAAAATTTACTGGAATGTTTTATTTTTGGACATAAATAATAGTACCTTCTGAAAACGGACCCTCGTTATGACGTAGAAGCCTCATCTCGCCATAGTTAAAAGAAAATTCCAAACGCCCGACGGAGACTGACAACTGATATTTCAATTCTTTCAACTGTGATGTCGCGCTAATTCACTCTGTCAGAAATCATGTATCATTCATCTCTGTCTGGAATAGTCTTGTTTCAGTATTAGGGTTTTGACGTCACATCATCGCCTCGTTTTCAGAGGTCCGAAAAATCTGGGATTTCAATAATTTTTTATGAAACGTAGAGAGCTCAGAGCAAGAAACGGTTTGCGGTGGTGAGCTAGTTTGAGTGAGTTCTATCGAATTATGAAATGAAATTTTTTTGTGATATATCGGTAATTTTTATGGACCGTGCAATTATAGCCGTTGTTCTCCGACATCAAGAGCTTCAACTCCACTTTCAAATGAGACTTCATTTTGGACCATTAACTCCCGATTGGGTTCAACATTGGGGAGTATAAATAGAAACGGAGAAACCTTCAGGAGAATACAAATGGACTGCTTTTACTTCCTGAATTACATTTGATACTTTCTGAACTACAAGTTATAATACTATTTGAATTACAATAAAAACATATGGATTCCTAGTTATACTTCAAATATGGATAACAATGTTTCATAATATAAGGGGTGTCCCATATATGTCATGGATCAAGAGAAGTGGGGGTAGTAAGGGGGGTCATTCCCAATCAAACTAACCATATATGTGGTTATTCAATTGTTGATGGTTCAAGAGTGTTTTTCTTTTCATTTCTGTAATGAAAAAAATTGCAATAAAAATATGACACATTTGTGATTTTCGCTCTCACAACTTTCATCCAGATGGATGTACCTTTTTCCTAAATACTTTTATCACATGTGTTACTTCTTATCAATTACCTGAGAAAAATGTTGTTTTCCTTCCCAGCGAGCACAAACATCCCTGGGATGTTTTGGGATGTTTTGAAAATGTTGGCATGAAGATGTTATTTTGAGACGTAATATGCACTGACCAAAGAGGTCTTTGAAGGATATTGAAGTATTGTTTTTGTTCTTCTGTGGCATTTCTTTGTTTGCCTACTGAGAGGTATCCCTGGGATGTTTTGGGATGTTTTAGAAATGTAGGCATGAGGATGTTTTTTTGAGGCGTAATATGCACTTCCCAAAGAGGTATTAGAAGGATATTGAAAGTATTGTTTTTGTTTTTTTTTGCCCTTTCTTTGTTTGCCCCACCACAACGTCTCATGCTTACGTCACAATACGATGAATTCTGTTTTGTTTTCGATTTTGTTCTTCTTGTTCGCAATTGGCATTCACGTTTGCAGCGTGTCACGCTTACATCACGCTGCTAACGAACAGAAAGGAATTTGGTGAAGTTTATTGTGTTAGAAGACTTATTTAGTTTGTAATAATGACCATCAGATGCAAGATATGTGTTGTTCGATGCCTCAGTGTAATCAATATATGAAAGTACGAATTCATCAAGACACAGCTTCTCCGCAGTGGCAAAATTATGCATTGTGGAGAACATTTCAAAAATTGGGAAACCTATATCCAATTATATGTCTGTGTGTAGTAAGCACTACTCAGAAACCGATTAAGAAGGTAATAAAATTTTTATGTTCAATCTATTTTTAATGCATTTTTTCATTCAAGGGAAATGGAATCCTAATGCAAAAGGTCATTTTGACAAAATGCTTAAGAAAAGTACCTAGAAAATGGTTTTTTTACAGCGATTTAATTAATTTAAATGTTCTGTTGTATCCATGAAAAGGCTTCAAAAAGAACTAGGGAGAAGGTAGTTTTGTGACATATCAAGGACATCCCGATAATTGCCGCCTGCGGCGGACATTGGCTGTTCTATAATAGTTCTATTCATGTGTGAACAGAACATCGCAGTGGAGGTTCAATGTCTCGAAATCTCGTACTTTTAACATCTCTGAGATGTTTTTGTGCTCGCTGGGTTGAGTTTTGTAATTTAATGAAATATCTAAGATGATTTTTAAATGCTTCTAGCCTGGTAGATTTAAAAGTTACCCTACAGAGGTAATCAATTATGAGAAAAAGATGCCCATTTAATACAGATTCCAAAATGGTATAACGTATGGGGCTATTCAAAACAGCCTCTTTGTTATCAATTTTTCCCAAATGGGTCGCGTTTTTCAGAAAAATTGTATAACTTTCGAACCATCAACAATTTGATAACCACATATACCATTAGTTCGATTGCAATTGACTTCCCCTACCACCCCCATCCTTTTGATCTTTGACTTATGGGACATCCTGTATGTGTGGGGATCTCCAAAATAGTAAAGGAATATAAAAGCTCCGAAGAAGATGAAGCAAAAGAGTAGCTGCAATATCAGTACTCTATTAGATAACACCTGAACATTTGTGTGTATTCATTTTATTGGATAAACAGTACGAAAAATACTCACTCTGAAACGATATCTTTATATTCGGGTTTCAAGAATTCCACATGGAAACTGAGGGTATCTGGAGTAATTTCATTGTCTGAAGTCATTCGTAGCAAAACTTCTCCAAGGTCCATAGCAGAAATGAATTCGCTAATTCCTGAAATTTCGAAGAATTAGGGATATTTGGGGTTGTTCTCCTTTTTCTATTCTCGTCAAATTAACATGCAGAATGCGATATAAATTAGTACATAATTGATTGATATAATACTAGACGTTATTTATCTTGATATACAGGGTGTTTCAAAAAAACCTGACCCCCTAACTAGGGTAGGTAGAACACTGCAAAATAAGTTGGGTTTACTTAGTAAGAAAATTTCGTAATGGCATCCGTTATCAAGATACAAGGTGGTGAAAAAATATTTTTTTTACACATTTTTCAAGATTTTGACGAAACTACTGGCAACATTGTGATGAAATTTTGTATGGATGTTTCTTGGAATCTGACACATCGCAAGCATTCGTTTTTATATCTGACTCTCATAGAGGGCACTAGTTACACGGTTCGTACCAAGTAGTTTTGAACATAACTTTTTTGAGGTTAGATTTTTCGATTCAAATTTGATGTGAACTTAGACATCATTCAATTTAAAACCAAAAAGGTACTCTTGGTAGAACTCGATACTGTGTACCGTTTTCAGAATATTTCGATTTGAAAATGATGAAGTGATAACTGTTGCTGGTATAAAGCTATGTATTATAGTGAGTATTATGAAAAATTATCACCTATTTATTGAAAACCGAAAACAAGAATACATTTCTGATGCTAAACTTATTGATTTAACAATGAATCACAAGAATAACATGAAAACAGATTTGACTAAGAACATGGATTACACTGTTTTGTTGTATCTTGAGCAGAAAGTTTATGCTACATAGGTAAATTCACGTCAAGAGTTGTAAGACATAATTGTACATCACTCAAATGACCTAACAGCTGATTCTCAACTGTTTAAAAGAATAATACATTCTCAAGAAAAGAAATTAGAATCGTGTATTCGTCGAAACGTAGGACATTTTGAACACTTACACTAACTGATTCAATATTTCATGTTTCTAGTCAAATATCTCTTAATTTACAACTTATGACTCTTCGTTCCATCAATAACTCCAGTGCAAGAATGATTTTATTGTTTTTGAATCTGAATAAATAGGTAATTGAACTCAATTATATTCATTTTATACCAGCATCAGCTATTGCTCCATTATTTTCAAATCGAAATATTCCGAAAACGGAACATTGTATCGAGTTTCACCAAGTTGACCTTTTTGATGTAAAATTGAATGATGTTCAAGTTCATATCATATTTGGATTGAAAAATCTAACCTCAAAAAAGTTATGATCTAAACTACTCGGTACGAAACGTGTAACTCGCGCCCTCTATGAAAGTCAGATATAAAAACAAATTCATGCGATGTGTCAGATTTCAAGGAACACTCATACAAAATTTCTTCACAATGTTGCCAGTAGTTTCGACATAATCGTGAAAAATGTGTACAAAAATAATTTTTTCAACACCTTGTATCTTGAAAACAGATGCCGTTACGACATTTTTTCACTGAGCAAACCCAACTTATTTTGCAGTGTTCTACCTACCCTAGCGAGGGGGTCAGGTTTTTTTGAAACACCCTGTATACGAAGAGAAATATAGTGATTAGAAATATCTCTCTGATACGAGTGATTCTTTCCTGAATGCCTATTGATTTCGATTTAGCCAGGCCGCGCTAGACATTTTTCCGTCTTTGTCGTTTAATCTTTCTTCAAGTCCTCTGACAAACAGCACCTTTTTTCAATTCTAGGATTATTAGTGCAGAATGAAAACTTTAATTTCACTTGCCGCCGGTGAATCAGAATTCATTATATTGAATTATGCCACAAAATTTACCTCAAATGTATTTTCAAGGTTGCAGAAAACATAAGCTGTGTTTGGATTGTGTTCCATACGGAATTTGCTTGTCGAACAAATGGAAATTTGAAATACCAATAGAATAATAGTTATAGACAATTTCTTCTGTGCGTTCCAAGAATGAAGAAAACTCTACTCACCGATATAGAATCCTTTGTCGTTCAATTGGGAAATTGTGTAAATGGAGTTCAAAGAGTTTCCACCAATTTCATAGAAGTTGGCATTTACTGAAATGGTCGATCTAGTTGCTCTGCCGAGAACCGTAGCTACTGTTTCGAATAATACTTTTGCGGCATCCATTTGGTGTGGAGCGACACCATCGTAACTGATTTCTATTTCCGGTTCAGGATCATCTGAAGTAAAATCATATACTCGTTATTGAACTCAACTATGAGTTTGTGACTTGTTTGAAATCAAACGCTCCCATTGAATTAGGTGGTGTGTATGTTAGGTCGAACATAAAAGACCAATAGGTAGATTTCGAGATCTTCAGATGACAGATGATATTAGAGAAAACATGTCTGATCCTCAATCTATGTCAGGAATTGAAACTGATGTTTTCCTAAAGTAATTGGAACGTCAGACGATGACCTTGAAATCCACTAATATTACTCATTGCCTTGAAAATAATGTTTGATAGTCCAATATGAAGCATTTTAATCACAATCTTCTCAAACTTCCACCAAAGAAAGTGCAATCTTAATGAAGCTCTTCGATTTGGTCCACTTTGGCTGATCGAGGATCGTATATTAATTCATTCAATAATATTGAGTATACATATTTTTGTTGAAATTGTATTTTCATGGGCCATGGGAGAGGATTTCAAATGACTTTCAATACAATATATCACTAATTTTCAATTGGGTTCCCTTTCAGTCTTCCATAGGGATAATTGTAGCTCCCAATCACAGAGCTCATATCCTTTATATCGTCGTGAGATATAAAGGTTATGTGTAGGGTCTAGGGTCATAAGGCGTTCTTTCCTTTTATTTCATGAGTCTTATTACAATCCTATAGTTATTATGTGTCAATATGACAAGAATCTGTTGATATGTGAAAAAACATTGAGCCACTCAGCTGCGGTCAACTTCATTCTCTAGGAATTTCAGGCATCACTGTGAAGTGAATTGAGAAAAAAAACTGCTTACCGTTTCCGTTTGTTGTTTCATAAGATTTCAATAGGGACTGTCTATCCACTTTCCCATTGACCAACAGTGGGATCTTCTCCATCAATACAACTTGCGGAATCATGTAGGAAGTGAGTTTTTCTTTCAGCTTCTCTTCTATTTGATGTTCGTTCATCAGTTTATTTTTATGAATTGTGACGAAGGCTAAGAGAGCTTGACTTATCTCTCCAGGGTTGTAACAAAGTACCACGGCTTTTTCTACCTGAAATCAATAATCAATTCAGAATTAAGAGTTTTAACTTGAGTCGAAACACAAGTTTGATGAGTTTGGATGCGACAAATCATACGATTCGTTTGTTCTTGCAGATATTCATTTCTTATTACTTGCTATTACTATCAATAGGATGAGATAATTGGAAAAACATTTTTAGGAGCAACCTCCGAATTCTGATGAGACTGCTTATGGGACACTATCGTAACACATATTACGTTAATGCTCTTGCTTATATAGAGATACTTTGAGCTACAACATACTTGATTTTACCAATTTAGTACCTACCAATATCAAAACAATCATATCTGATGCAACCATGGACTTTGTAAAAAGAAGTGGATTGTACAGTGAACTACTGTAACCTTGAGGAAGTTGAGTTGAAGTGTAGTTATATGATTACATATCTGGAATTTGAATGAACGACAAATTCTATGGTATTGTACAGTCACATGCAAGGGAGATGTCGTAGTTGGATGGTGTTAGCGCTTTTATTGCAGAGGTGACTAGAAGTGTGTCATGTCATCATCGCATCTGAATGTACTTATGATGAGGAGTAAAGTGTTGAAGAACGATTAACTAATTGCACTGCAGTCACAACCTCAATCCTGTTCTGCTCAAGATTGGAACATTTAGGACGTTCATCGTATCATCAGAGCTAGAGGAAGGTGTTACTTCGTGACATCCTTTCAAGAACATACAACAGAATACATTTTTCTGCACTCGAACAGCCTTTTCACCCTGAATTCACTACCTCCTCCAACTCGATTAAGGCACCCCGGTAGCCTCTGATTTTTCACTGGGAGTTTCATCTTATTCTAGCGCCCTTTTCCGACTGTAATAACTACAGAGTTTCTACTGTCGATATCATAGCTTGAATACAGAAATACGAAAAAAACCTTGGGTGTTCTATGAATATTCATTTTCAGAGGTGGGTGTATGAATGTGGTCTGTAAAGACCATCACTGAAGTGGAATGTCCTCGACTAAAAAAGCTAGATGATTTCTACTAGCGGTCAAAGGACAAATAAGGAAGAGATACATGTGTTTATCGAAGACCTCATGGAGTTGGATTTATACTAGAAAATATGGATGAGGGAAACATTGCTTCCTAACCAAACAACCTGAACATAATACTGGCGAGGATATTATAATATTTTGAAACTCTGAATGAATGTGACAGCGGTATCAAATTGGCTTCGGATAATTATCGCCCGAAAATATCAAAAAGTCAGGATAACTATATCTAGATCAACACCAAGTCCCATGAAATTGTACAAAGAGGAAAAGAGTTGCTCTATGATATGACCTTGATATTTGCGATTACCGATGTCTGGAAACTAGGAATGTATATGTCCGAGTTATCGCACCTTTCCTTAATCGAGATGAAAACGATACACCTCGAAAACCCTTTCAAGGACAACACTTCTCCGTACTCAAACAACTCACTCCTTCCATCGAGTTCACGGCCTCCTCAACCTCGGTGAGATCCACCCTGTGGCCCCTGATTTTGACATGCGAGTCCGTCCGTCCCTCATACACCAGGGCCCCCTTTTTCACGCGGGCGAAGTCCCCGGTGCGATGCAGTTTCCCAATGAAAGTTGCACAATAACGGAGATATCATCAATTGAACATTTCATGGATTTCAGAAGAACTTTATTACGGTCCTGATGAGTGTCGCCAAAGTGTAGCAGTAGCATTTCGTTGTACACAGAAAGATCTCTATTGAGAAATGTTTGTTAATTCGGTGTAGAGGTTTCGTGACACAGGGACGAAGAGGAGGACATGCTACCACCCGAAATAACTGAAATTGAGGAAGCCATTCTGGAATTGATCGATGAGGATATAGCAAGACAAGTCGAAGTGGCTCCAAGTAAAGTATAGAAGACAATAGTTAGAATGGAACAATTCTGTCCAGACCGTTATCGAAGAGTACAAGCGATATAACCTTGAGATCTTCCTACGATGGTTGTATATTAACTATGGCTTCTGAATCAGCACCAACATAATAGACATTCAGCTAAATTCATTTCGGCTACAGACGAAAGATACATTCACACGAAATGGAGTGAATAAATTTCATAATTTCCATATTTGGACAATAAAGACTCTTCACGCACTACACATATTCAGCAAAGTTTTTCAATGAATGTTTGGACTCGGCTTGTCGATGGCATGTTCATCGATCCATTCTTTCATTCACCCCGAATTTCAGGTTGAAACTATTCAGAATGTTCACAAAACAATATGTCTGAATTACTTGAAGTTGCGACTTTGAATGTGATATAGGCAATGTGGTTTCTACACGATGGAGCTGCTACAAATTTCAGACGGGAAACACCCGAACATTCTCCTGAAACCACCTGAAAAAATTCAGAAACCAGGATGAAGAGCACTGTTTGGAATAGCACTAAATTTGCAATGTGAGGTACTGTGTTGAAGTACAATTTGTGAGTTGCACAATGATGAAACCTCCTTAACGTGTATACTTATGTCTGGAAAAGTTCGAGTCATTGCACCTTTCCACGTAAGTCGAGATGAAAACGATACACCACGAAAACCCTTTCAAGGACACACACAGACTGAATTCCTCAAGCAACTTACCCCTTCCACCGAGTTCACGGCCTTCTCCACCTCGGTGAGATCCACCCGGTGGCCCCTGATTTTGACCTGCGAGTCCGTCCGTCCCTCGTACACCAGGACCCCCTTTTCCACGCGGGCGAAGTCCCCGGTGCGATACAGTTTCGCGTAAGTGGGATCGATTGCTAATGGGTTGTCGATGAACTTGTCGGGGTCTCTGCCGGCGACGTAGCCTGCCGCAAGGTTCAGTCCGGAGGCGAAGAGCTCGCCGGGTTCGCCTGTTTTCACCGGCCGCAGGTCTTTGTCTAGCAGGTAGATGATGGTGTTGTCCAGAGGGGAACCTGTTGAAATGGAGACACTGGAATTTTTAAGGGGTCTAGACCTCGATCCAATAAATAGATTGTATCCTAAACTCAGAAGTCCTATGAACAAAGCATTCGCCAGATTGACTTCGGTTGTGCACTAATTTGTGTTATAACGGTAATCAAGGGCGTCAACATAGGGGGTAATAGGGGTTATCACACTCTCCCCAAGGATAATAATTTGTGGGATGAGTCATAGATAAAGACGTTTATGGATGTTTTGATTTGTGATTGGTTTGTACAAAGAAGTTATAGTTCTGTTTCTGATTTTTGTATATGGTACAAACCCCAAAAAACTAACGCACCACCAAAAAGGATCCAAAAGTTTGAGGAACATATTCGTCGAAACTACTCGTACCATTTGGACGTTTTTCTCCTTCTTTCAAAAAATTGGCGTGCAAACTGTATTCACATAATAACCTCTCTTTTTTCGTGATTACTGATGAAGCAACTATAGCGTTTTTTCATGAGATTTGTAATACCCTGTAGAGTGTAACTGTTACATTATTAAGTTAGAATTGAAATTACAGTTGAGCCGCTTCTTTTTTTAACATTCCTTTCTTGGATTTATTCCATTATCTTTTCGATTGCCCCAGATATACAATTTTATAGCATTAAATGATTTTATCGAATTTCATTGGCATTATAAGTACGTAAGTAGCAGTCTATGGTCTGGGGAAGCATTTCTTTGACTGGTTGCATGGATGACAAATGGAAGCCTCACAGCTGAAAGGTACATACCAATTAGCACAAATTGATCTCAGAGATATGAGAGGGCATCACATTCATGCCACATATCCCATTCGTGACTCGAAATGAGAGTCCCGGTAAAATCGCAATGACTGCTATTCCGGACCGTTTTGATCATTTTATGATACACATTATGTTTCACATTATGATGCCAAATCAAACTCACTCAGTATGATTGATTCCGTTTGTAACATAAATAGACAAGAATGTGAGGTTCCAGTGAGTCTCTTGGTTGTTAGGGAGCCTCATGAATTCACCTACATGTTAAGGCCCAAATCTAATAAAATGTGACTGATATTGCGAATGTTTTTTAAAATGAAGAGTCACCTGGCAATACCAATGATGTTTTGTTGTAATTCGCATTGTTACCTAGCGAAGCATGAATGTGACATCCCAGAGATGTTTTTGTTTACTGGGATGTTGGAGAATTAAGAACCACATATAGTGAAAGGATATTTGTTGCTGCAAAATAATACCAGGCCTCACATCACCAGTGCGGTGAGGAATTATCTGGACTCTAGAGGAGATTGGTATCGCTACCATGGCATGGCTAGCTCGGAGCCCGGATTCAAATCGCATTGTGAATCTCTGGGGCATTACTCGGACAAGATCACAAGAGGAACGTCACTTCAATAGTTTGGAAGATCCACGGCAGAAACTGACTAAAATTTGGATAATGACATAAGCTCTCTTATTTTGAGAATCGGCCATCTTTGCCAAGAACTTATTCGTGCCCGAGGCGGAAACATACTCGCTACTGACTCATTTCAACTCCACATTCTGAAATCATGTGAAGTGATTTCGAATGCGAAGTGATTTTCAACCTATTTTGACTCCTAATATCATTTTCCGGAAACTGGGGTGAATCCATGGCTGTTGGCGAGCAGTGTATATTACTGAAGATGACCCCACTTGGTCATAGAGTGCATTTTTGGTATATCTCTCGCTCCAGCAAATTTCAGGATCCTTACCTAACGATTACATGAGATACAGGGGTGGTTCCATTTGAAGTGGGTCACACTGTATATATATATATATATATATATAGGGTGGCTACGGAAGTATTGCCTACGGAATATCTCAGTTATTATATGAAATAGGTTTGTGAAATTTGAAGCGTCGATATAATGACATAAGAGCTAGAATTTGAGCATATTGACATGTCGAAGTTAACTTCCGGTCTGACCGGAAGTAACATCAACTTTCTTATTTCAAATGGAAACCCTATTTTTTTTTTCTTTTCGCTTTATTCAGCATTCAATTTCCTTTCTAATGACATATCACATGTTGGTATCCATTTGGTATCTAACCAGAAACTAGATCAGAAAAAAATTATTATTGAAATTCATCGAGTAGGCCGTGGAAGCAGAATGAAAGCCAAAAATTGAAAAGTTGGCTATGGAAACCATACGTCACTTGATAACAGTTGCTACTACTGTGATATTTCATTTTCATTCGTCGGCGTTATAAAAAGCCGCCAAAAAAATATTGGAAAAATTGGGAAAAAAATAATACTCTGTTGGTCCATAACTTAAATAGGAACATACAACTTTTTCTTGCCTGTACTATTCAGCATAACCATTCCTTTCTAATGATATAATAGGAAGTCATTTTTTGGCTTTCATTTTGCTTCCACGGCCTACTCGGTGAATTTCAATAATAATTTTTTTCTGATCTAGTTTCTGGTTAGATACCAACTTGTGATATGTCATTAGAAAGGAAATTGAATGCTGAATAAAGCGAAAAGAATAAAAAATAGGGTTTCCATTTGAAATAAGAAAGTTGATGTTACTTCCGGTCAGACCGGAAGTTAACTTCGACATGTCAATATGCTCAAATTCTAGCTCTTATGTCATTATATCGACGCTCCAAATTTCACAAACCTACTTCATACAATAACTGAGAAATTCCGTAGGCAATACTTCCGTAGCCACCCGGTATATATATATATATATTTTTTTGATGTTGATAATTCATCTGAAACTATTCCTTTTTGAACAGTATGTTCAGAAGCAAGATCAGAAATGGATTTCCATTCCTTACTTAAAGTACTACTTTTTAAGGTTCTCTCAGTTCATTCGGTAACTAACTATAATATATTAAGGTATCTCATTATTCTATTTTGTGAATTCCGTATTTGGAATAAATCTATATTATTAAAATTATTTTCCAACTGATATTTAGAATATCGAAATCTATCAAAAAATAACGAGACCAGAAAAATAAAGAAAAATCTCATTCACTAGCATAAGTACAATTATAAACAGGACAGATAACTAAATCATCTCGATGACAGAGGAAAAAGGAAAGGAAGGTGTGTTGTTACCTATCGGTATCTTGTCCATATGTTCCAACTGTCGTAGTCCGGGTATGACATAGTACGTGACGTCTCCCATGATCTCTGTGCTCCCATAGAAGTTGCATAACTGATAATAGTCCTCGCTGAAATGCATGTAGAATTCCTTCGCCAATGATACGGCCAAAGTTTCCCCTGAACATATCCACAGGCGTAGATTATTCAAGTATTCCTTAACTCCCTGAAAGCAATAATAATTCTGAAGGAACAAGGAAGACAAGGAAGAATTCTGAAATTATTTTCATTCGATACTTTTCGAATTTCAATTGTGGAAACTTGAGAGAAATCCATTCGATATAGTCGGTGACACGAAACCTCAATTGAAAAATGCTTGAGAATAATGAATATACGTTTAATCTATGGAAAAAGTCGATGGTCACTCAGAGTGGAGTGTTGTAGTTCATAGATGAAAACCCAAAGTCATCTCCACAACATTTATTAGAATGATCAAAGATCAATCGAAACGACAGATGTTTCGGACTTATATAAGCCGATCATCAGCCAATAGAAAGTATCAAAGCATAGATCAAAGTTATGGAAAACACGGAAATATGCTCCATGATTGTCTCTGTGAAATGATATAAATTTCTTATGTTATGAACTTATTTGAACGGTTAAGGGTCGAGTTCATATCTTACAAGGGCCTACGTGCCCTTGAATTAGAGAAAGGTGATAATTGAACTCCGCAAAATCAAACAAAATCAGGTTAATTTATTTTATATATACCTCTGTTATAACAGTTTGTTTCAATCTTGTAAGTACCTATGTAACAGTATTCTGTGATATTTATGAGTATATTCAAATTGAGACTTAGGGATATGATTTTCTTTGAGATTGTTTCGTTTTGTTTGTATCCATTTTGTTGAAAATAGGTTTCTTCTCTGTTCACTAAAACTACATAATGTTTTGACGTCATTTTATCTATAGTATTTCATTATCCTTTCTTGGAATTCGAATAGCATAAAGGTATTCACTGATGAAATAAAAATCGAACTGACAACCCTCGTCCTCCTGGAGAGTGAGTCGACAACAACTGTCATTCGCTGACAGTTTTTTGTCAATGGTAAATGAATAATTACATGTCGATAAAGCATGACTTACTTACTTTAGTTACAAAATATAATAAAATATGAATCAATAGTAACTTAATATCTCAGTTTTCCACAAATTAGTACTAAAATTGGTAAATAGTTATTTATTATACGAGGGAAAAACGTAGTAGATTTTACCTCCAGGTTGTGTTGTCTCCCGACGCGTAGCGGAGGGAGACAAAAAAAAGTGAGCTGAAATCTAACATTTTTTCCGTGTATAATACACCATTTTTTTTCTGTGACAGAAGGAAGGGAGATTCTACAAAGCCCTGGAAGGGACACATAAAATAAAAAAAAAAAACTAAGTCGGAACTTTGATGTAAAATTCAAGTTATAACACGGAATTTTGAAATTCTGAGTAATAACTCGGAATTTTGGATGTAAAATTCCGAGATATAAGTCGGAATTTTAAAATTCCGAGTTGAAACTCAGAATTTTGAAGGGTAATTTTTTTTATTTCTGACAGTGACATTATAAGCTTATATCGTCATAGTTACGATATCTATAATGAGGGTCATAACTCCCTTGGGATATTATAGATGCTATAATTCCCTCTAGCTAAAATTAAATAAGAAATGCATAGCAACAACCACGCAATAACGTAGCAGTAAGGAATCTCCTATTCGCGGTAGTCAAGATCATCATCTGACGTTCTGATGACATTGAAACTATACGGAAAAACATGTCTAACTTCCAATCGGGAAGGTATCTAATGAATGAAATTAGTCAGAAATAAAATTATCTATGTACCACGGGAATTATAGAGCCTTAATAACCTCTGGCAATTGCTGTCCCTCGGGCCAGAGGCCCTCGGGACGCAAACTTTGCCATCGGTAATTAAGGCCCTCATAATTCCCTTAATACATAAATAACTATTAATTTTTATGTGTCCCTTCCAGGCCTCCGTACGATTCAATATTGAGAAGATATTACATTATTTCGAAATCTGAAAATTATCGACGTGAAATTTCAAGTTTTTAACAGTTGAGACACCTGCGTTGTAGGCATCTCGATCATTCTTTTGGAGTAATCAAAATTTGATTTCAAAAAATTGCGAATTTAGTGGTTGTTTAGTAATAACGTAACCGCGAAGTCGAATGGAAGATGAAAAGACTTGCAATTCTTTCTCGGAGACGGTATTATTGACTCATTTTTCGGAACTATAGCACAACAAAAGCCATCAACAGTGTATATATATGTGATATATATCCGGGAAAAAAGTACTCCCACGGGAAAAAAGTAATTTATGAAAAGTGACATTTTATAATCCGCCAACAGAGATGAAATGCCAAACTTTTTTCCCGTCACAGAAAAAAATTTATTTTCTCACAAGAAACACGAAGTACTATTCAGTATCAATGAAAGTTGCTCACGTAATATTATTCGGTTGATTAAAATATAAGTAACCAACTTTAGTTAAATGAAATGATGGAAAAAAACCAGATGCTAGCTCAATTTTTCAGTTTTTCACGAATACATTTAGCTGAAGTTGGTAGATATACAGCGTGTCTCACTTTAAACGGCTCCCCCCTCTATTATCTCAGTTATTAGTCATACGATTCCAACCAAATTTGGTTTGGTATGAAAAACCATCAATATGATCAGTTTTACAGAGATAAACATCATTTTGGACAGTGCCGTGCGTTTTCATCGAACTAAAAAGGGGTCGATTTTTCATAAAATCATATTAGGAAATCTAACCTCATATTATTGTTCCTCATGCTTTCGAACCTCCATATGCAAAAAATCCCCTAATTCCGAATTGACAGGATTGACTTCATTTCTTTCATTTTCAGTCTCGAATAAATAGTGACTTCGAATCAACTATGAATTTTGGAATGTTCAATGGCTCCGTCAGGTGGAAAATCATGATTTGGAAGGAAAAATGGGTTATACTTTTTTATGTTGAACTCATCGTTTCCGAGTGAATAATTATTACGTTCGCAAAAATGCGCTGTTTAGATGTGCCTGTTTTTCTGAAACCCTTCATGGGCATCTTATGAAAATCCACATTTGTGGGTTTCAAACCATGAAGAACAATATTGTGAGGTCAGTTTTCCTGTGAAAAAATGCCGAATATGATTTAATGAAAAACTGACCCCTATTCATTTCAATAAAAATGCACGGCAATTCGATTTAATCTGATGTTGAATGTCAATGGCATTTTAGCTGTATGAACGTCAGAACATTTTTAGTGTAATTCCATGCTCCTTCCCCTAAGGAGGAGAAAACATTTCCGGAAATTTGTTCAGTTGCTATGGTTACGATACAAAATACAGGCTTATAATTGGTCATAAGTGTTGGGTGTGAAATTTTCATAATAATACTTATCAAGTTCACTTCATCTCAATAGAGATACGTGTCTAGTGTAAGTTTCCTGCTGTCATATTTTTGCTAAAGCGGAAGGAAATCTTGTCAATTATTCATTGCTTCGAGTTACAAGTTACCCAATAATTGGCTGTCATGAAAACAAATTGTCCATCAATCATTACACGTTAATGCATTATATTATCTTTCGTGTTATCGAATCAAGAAATCAATGAGCGATATGAATTCATGTCCGACAGCTTTTGTTTCACTATCTTGAATAAGCATCATACATACAATAAGTGAACGATTTGACCCTGCATGCGCAAATGAAAGTATTGAGAGAATAAGTGACTTACTTTAAGGTCCATATACATCAGGAGAGACCTCAAGAGAGTAGGAACTAGAATCAGCCTTTCAACCTGAAAAAAATTCAAATCCACGTATAATATAATCAGTAGTGATACTATAAGTACTTCAAATTATTCGGGTTTTACATCGATAACTTGATGCATAGCTACAAAGAGTGTCAGTTTGACAGTTGGGGGATCATTCTGATAAACTGACACGATTTGTAATTATGCAGGAAGTTCAAGATATATAACCATGAATAGTTTGCAGTTAGAATTGTAATTGATGCAATTATTTTTTGGTTACTCAATTCTGAACGAACGTTATTTTGAGACGCGCTTTGTTCGTATGTGTATATGAATTGGTTACTATGGAAATGATTCCAAATTTCTGATTAGCGAAGTAGCTCTATGTTATTATACAAGGTAGCTTGACACGATTGAACGTTCTGATTGGTCTAAAATCATACGAAGAAAATAATACAAATCATTGTTCACAAATCGGATAGGTAATGCGATAATGAGATGATGAAACTTCGAGTTCGTTCTCTTTATTTCAAGTTCTGGAAGATATCCAACACACATCCCCGATGAATATCTCATGGATGTCCATTTCAGGGATATCCCGACCGGAATAAATTGGACATGAAACGGGTATCTATCTATCCTGTTATGTGGAATATATTACATTATAGAGAAACTGACTCTATTAATAAGTGTTTGGCCGTCCCTTCACCGCATTGTCTGCACAGAAGTTCTCCATTGTATAGTCCCATTTCATTCAGGTGTCCTCTCGTTGGACTGTGGCCAGTGGAAAGTCCCGTTATTGTTCTGACTTGGATCCTACTCAACTCGAGTAGTTCTTCAGATTTATCTTTCCACGGTTCTTTAACGAATACAATCCCTCTTCTTTCTTTCTTTCCATTCTATTCTATCGGGCTTCCTTGGCAAAGTTCTCTTTTCCTCTTCCCCTCCAAGCTCAACCTCATCATCAAGTTGTGTGGGAAAGACAGACCGCGACAGGTGAAGCATTTTGGGAACATTTTTGCTATCTCTGAGTCGGATCGGATGGGAACATTTGTGGACATCTATGGCGAGGAAGGGGTGATTTGTAGATATCTGTCTATAGGTGCCGAAGGACTGGTCAACGAGGCTCTGGCAACCTAATCCAAGCTGTTGGAACCTGTGGCGATGGAAGAATGGCACCGAGGTTTGGTGTCGCTAACGGGGCCTCTTGAAACAAGGCGATATCTCAGAGTAAATAACCTTAGCCTTTTGCAGGAGGCACCACAGTGCTAGATCAATCCTTTTCTTCGTCACTCGTAGTAGAAGGAAAACTTTTGGCCTTGGTCGTAGACAAGAACAGGGATCGGGAGAGTAATCTTCAGGAACCTGAACGAAAAGGCTCGTGCTATTGAAGTAGCCGTTAATAAGAACAATGAGTCGTATATGGTAGGATTGATAACGGCATATGGGTAAGATGCAATCGGTCAGACGAGCCTACGAACGGGGTGGAGTGTTCAGTGGGTATACCCTGTTAGATATTCTATTTATCTTTTGAATTGAGAATATGATTGATTGATTTTTTTTTGGTCGAATTATTACACCTTAGTGCTATGATGAGTCAATAATATGAGTGTACATATTATAATATGAATGTGGATAACAAATTGAATATGCCACAATTACAGAGAACCAGCAAACAACCGGTTATAAAAATTGTACATGTTACGATCACAAAAACAAAATGAAAACAATAGATGAAAAGTCACTCAGTAAAGCTGAAGTCAGACGTATCATAGTAAGCATTCTTTGAGAGATGGGTTTCCAGTTTCCTTTCAAAATTAGTGAGGGTTACATTTTTCATTGATTGGGGCAGTGAATTGTACAATGATATAAATGAGTTATATCTCCCCGTCATTTCTAGTCTTTGGTTTGGTGCTTTGATATTATCCTTGTTCTTAGTATTATATGAATGGTTATTTCCATTTCACAGCTCTCCATTTGAACTATTCCAGCTAAAGCTCTGATTGCTCTTCTTTGAATCATAAATATTCTCGTTATATGAATTGATGTGCCCCAGTTTATCAATCGATATGTTAACTATGAAACATTGCATGATATGCTTTATGGTCAGCTTCATTACCGAATTTATATTTTATCTACCTGAATGCATAGACCTTGCATGATAGCTTTTTTGCTATCAATATGGGGTTTCCAAGTTGACTTTGAATCAATAGTTATACCAAGACATTTCACATTACTTGAGGGAGCATGAGATAGCGAGAACATAACTGCTTGGGTATTGCTTTCATAAACACCTAGGCTATTGGCATTGAACCAGTCCGTAGCTTCTTGAATAACTAGCTTTTCTAATTGTGATGTTTCTTCATCATTGGTTTTTCGAAAGGCGAGGGAAGTGTCATCGGCAAATAGTATTGTGAAGGTTGCCATTAAATATGGCAAGTCGATTATATAAATCAAGTAAAGTAGTGGCCCAAGGACACTACCTTGTGGAACACCATTCGTGATCGTTTGTAAACTACTGAGTTCTTCATTATATAATATACATTGCTTTCTCTTATTTAGATATGATGCGAGTAGATTGTGCGCTATGCCTACAAAGTCAAAGTATTCCAATGTTTCTAATGAAATATCAGTAGAGACGCAGTCAGAACCCTTGCTCACATCTGGATATGGAAAATGATGTTCAGGATCTTATTGTAGGTAACAACGTGATGTTGAATGACATGACGATGGATTGTCAATGATTGCTGAATAAAGAAAACCATTCAAATATATTTACGAATATCACTTATTAAAATACCCTGGAGGCAGGGGACTCCCACACTATCAGATGGGGGATTTGACCCATATGATATCTATAAAGGATTTCAACCACCTCGGCAGGAAAAAAACATGAGATTATGGTTACCTTGTATTTTTCCAAGACGGCGACAAGATTCTCTGGATCTTTCGTAACGATTTTGGGCACTACCAGGAGTGACCTACCACTCAGCAAAGGGCTCCAAATTTCAGCTACGCTGTCGACAAAGGTCAGTGCTGTTTTGAAGACGCACACGTTTTCCGAATTGCTGAACGGGAATCTCTTCAGTTGCCATTGTAAACGGTTCAGGATTATCTTATGAGGAAGTCGCACACCTGAGAAAACGGAGTTATATTACTTTGCATTTAGATTTTGCGAGGTGCATTAGCTCGTTTTCAGTACTGCACCATAGATTAACTAATCTATGACTGCACTTTGATTGCATATTGCGAATATAAGAGTGAACTACACTTTCTCCAGGTGAATTTCAGAATGGGTCAATTCGATATCAGGGAGCATCAATTGTATTTTAGAATTGCCACTTGTATTTCAGAAAATATCAATTGTATTTCAGAATAGTCAATTCAATTCGGGAATAGGACAAAAAGATACAAAACATAATGTAGGACCTGACACCCTTTTTGAATGGGTCAGTCGGAAATATTTTTAGAAAATTGACGAAAAAGCCTTCATTTTCATTTGTGACATCTGATTCACTGTACCTACCACTTTGGGGTTAAATAAATCAGGCATTAAAAACGCGTGAAAACTCATTTTGAAAAACATTTTTTGTTGTTGTTGTGATTGCATTTTCAAAATATATTCTCGGCATGCTGAGAATAAATCAGAACATTAGAAATTGTTCATCAATCCATATAGTATGAAGCAGGATATATCATAAAAAATATCAAATCATAAAATATATACCCCACTTTCATAGAAGTTAGAATGATTCATTTTACCTATTATAGTGACCAATTCGAAGTAAAAAAAAAAAGATAAAATTCATTCAAAATCATCTGGACAAGGATTTCATCGAACCGACATTTTTTTCCTCTCATATACTGCTCAAAATTTGCTACTTTGTCGAGCGAAAAAGAATTATCGAACACAATTACTTGGCCTACTGCGATCACAAAAATTTGGTAGGTAGGTAGTTTCTATGCTGATTCAGTTAGTTAGGTTGAACATTCTATAACCTTCGGTTTTGGAGATTATTTTGAGTTGGGCGTGGGAAAAAATCGGTATATATATATATAATTTCAGAAATATCGATATATCGAACTTATCGATATGTTTCGACTTATCGATAATCGATGAGTGAAATCTAATATCGCGCATCCTCAGACAATGAGATGAATAAAAAAACTAGAATTCAATTGGTTCCATTTTCACGCTTCTATTACGTAGACTTCTCCCCACTTATTTTCCGTATATTTTCTCGCAAACGTAGGTAGCCAACATTATGTTGAAAAATGAAACATGGGATAGCATTGATTTCGTTTTCGATTCCTGATTTTCAATCTTTCCGAACATTTGGATCTATGCACAATCACATTTCAGATAGCTCCAAATGGAATATTACAGAACGACCTTTCGCGACCTTTCACTATTCTATCGATACTTCCACGGGAAATGTTCTTCGGAAATCTCTGCTATCATCCCCTCACTAGCAATACCAATCAGACGAACTAGACAAGCCCAGTCAGCACATCCTTTCGTTGTCAACTTCGAAAGATGTCGAACAGCACTTTATCAAGACTCCTTCATCCATAGAACGGCTAGGCTCTGGAATTCATTTCCTGTGGAAGTATTCCCAACAACATATAATCTCCAAAAGTTCAAAAAAAATTCCAATACCTACCTCCTGTCCCTATCCTCCCTAGGAACGCACGATGTTCTTCGAACATTATAGCGATAAAAAAAAAGTTCGGGCGATCTTGCTAGCCATGAAATTGTACCCTTTCTTATTCTATCAAATTGAATCAATTTCGCACCCCAAAAAGTACACGAAATTGTGTAGGCCAACACTCCATTTTGATAATCACCAACAATGCTAACTACATTTCTCAAGCCTAGTTTTCCATATAAAAATATTCTCATTCATGAAAATAACCTAATGGTTTTTGTGTTATAAATGATATAAAATGGACAATACATTTTTTCGAACAATGTCAAGAATGGAATGTAATATAAAATAAGTGTTGTCAACAGATAATTTACCTTTTGGTACCCCTGTACTACCAGAAGTATACATGACTATGGCAGGATCAGCAGCATTAGAATGTTGAATTTTCTCATTCTGTGATAATGCGTGTTCTTCCTCGTCAATGCTCCTGCTCACCAGCTCATCGAACGATAACTTGAAGCAATTTGTGTAGAACTCTGAATCTGAAAAATCGAAGAATTATATCTATCCAAAATTATATATTTTGATGAAATGATATATTTGGGTCTTAGCTTTTTCTTGTACCGTGGTTCCCTCAGAGTAAACGAGGTGTTTCTGAAATGAGTACTCATTATATTCAGCACATCAATATGATGCAGTCTATGGAATAATACCAAAATATCAGATTTTAACTAATTCTTTCATTTAACGAGATATTTCATCTCGAGAATTGAACCAAAAATGGAAATATAAATTAAGCAATTTGGTTAATTGAACTCGGAATTGTCACAGTTTAGATCAATTTTGATCCCAAAATTTTTTTATTGGTGCCATTCGAGCTTCCTGAGGGTCTTGAAGTAGTATATTTTCGTCACCAACGACACACTTTATGAGTAACATAAGTTGCCTATAGTTCTGTGTTTAAATATCAGTCTATAGTATGTACACTCGTCTTCAGTGAACATGTCGCGTTTTAAGACTACTGTACGCAAGATCTCTCGATATTTAGGGTCGTTTTTATATTTCTTCATAGATTAACGACTCCTTATGGTTTCAGAAAAACCACTGCGGTACTCATTATTTTCGAATACGTGACTTTTAACTGGTGTTATGTTATTTCAGGTTAGGTTATTTCTTAGTGATCGTATTTTGCATCATATTCAATGCATTTGATAACTGTGAAATTCCAAATTTAATTGTTGAGAGTAGTATTTTCGGACCACGCTTTCTGCTATGAACACCAAAAATCATTTTATTCTGTACATTCGTCTTCAGATAACAAGTACTACAGTGTGTTGTGTTATATCAGACGGTGATACTGAACAATTTTCCGCAGAGCTGCAAGTGAATATTGAAAGCCAACTCTTGGGAAGAGTTGAAAGTTCAAATAGAAACTGACTTTTTATTAGTGCAAAATTGGTTTGAACATGAACTGCTCACCGTCAATCATAAAAAAACATGTTTCGTTCCATTCTATTGTAATAAATATGTGAAGGATTAGCAAAATTATCAAGTCAGTTGAACATGAAAAATATTTGGGTGTTTATATTGATAAACACTTAAAATGGGATATTCATATTCAATAAGTTGGCAAAAAATTGAGAACAATATTATATCGATTTAAATACCTTGAAACGATTACTACCTTGCCACAAAATAAAGACTTTGTATCATGCACTTGTCGAGAGCCATTTAAGATATGCCATAGCAGCTAGGGGTAAATATATATAGTGAAAAAAGAAAGTGAAATTCGTCTTCCCATTGCTTACATATCACTCGATGTTTTCCATCGAGATGATCTTGAAATGACGAATTTATGATTATTGCTGAAACAGCCCTGAAACAATCGTGTCGATGGAATATTAGAACGTTGTTCATGAAGTAGGTAGTCATAAATAATTGCTTCTGAAGTGAAATATAATTTACGAGCGGTATAATTAGAGTAGTTAGGTACCTATAACTCGTTCATAGTATGAAAGATGAAAACTGGAAAAACTCTAATGTAGAACACCTTGTAATTTGAAAATTTTGAGCGAAAACCTTCAATTCGAAGGTAGGTTGAATACTTATGTCCTTTTTCTTCACATTATTTTATTGAATTATTCAATATCAGGCACTATTCCTCTCGACTTCCCTTTTTTCGTTCATACTTTTTTCCTGTTATAATTGTAGTAATTATGTTTTTTTATCGCTTGGAGCGCACGAAAGGGAATCATACAGAAAACTATATTTACATATAGAACGAAATGAAGTAATATGTAATTTATGACAAAACTCCCGATTGCGGCTAGATGGTTATATAGAGACTATTAAAAACCTTCTTTACGATGAATGATAAAAAGTCATATATTATATTCGAGACACAAAAATTAATCCTTTCCCATTAGGCTCACCTGTATAACATGTTTAAACTATGTACGTCCGACAGACATATCCCAGACAGCACAGAATATTCTATGAATATTTTGACAACGTTCAACTATACTTATTTTAGAATATTCATATAGAATGTTCTCAGAATGATCATAGAATATTCTCATTCTGCAAACAATATTTGAACATATGAATATTCTATATGACATATTCTCGGAATATTCTTTTCGAATATTCCAAGAATATTCATCTTGAATATTCTGGGAATATTGGGAATCGTATAAAAATATATGATGATTATGTTCCTATTCTTTCATCAATATTCATAATGTTTACCCAGACACAACGTTTTATTCTATAGCCTAAATGCTGATTATCCCACTTATACAGTGTTGTCATCTTGCTTTCCATTTCATTCATCAATGAGGTTCGTGGCGAAGTGGTGAGGTTTCAGGTTCGTGATAATTTGATCACAAGATAGTAGGTTCGCATCTCCAGCGGAGCAAGCTTTTCTTAAATATTCATCCCTCTCGTTCAATAAACTAGGAATATTCTCAGAATATTTGAAACAGTCCATTCCGAATGATCATACAACATCCCTAGAATATTTATACACATGGTGAGAATATCCTGAGGATATCTTATGGACGTACTATGAATGACATTGTGCTATCTGGGATGCTTCGGAAATTCTTCCAAAGGACATACGATCTTGCAAAACCAGAAGTCTTAGGACGTCCGAACTGGAACATTTTGGGATATGCAAGGTGTTCAAAAACAGCTGACCTCCTTGCTAGGGGGAGTAAAACACTGCAAAATAAGTCAGGCTTGCTCAGTAAAAAAATGTCGTAACGACATCCGATGTCAAGATACGATAAGGTGATGAAACATATTTTTTGACACATTTTTACAACTATGTCGAAACTATTGGTAAACTTTATCTTTTTTGAGAACGAAAAAAAAATCGTTTTCTCAAACACCTGGTATCTTGAAAACGGATGTCGTTACGACATTTGATACTGAACAAACCTAACTTATTTTGTAGTGTTCTACCTACCCTAGCAAGGTAATTACCTTATTTTCGAAACACCTTGTGAAGCTGCGGGCGATAATACATACGGAATCATTGATTGCAACCAAGAAAGTCTTCATACGCCTAACTTTCACATTGCTGTGCTCTTTTATTGTTGGGAATAATTCGGACCGCGTCCCATATAGTGGTGGACAGAGTATCGTCTGATATAATAGCCTTCAATTCCGGCGTTCCTCAACTCCATATCATTTATCTGTTATTTGTAACCACTTGGTATACCCACATCTTTGTAGATTGCGGTATATTCTCCATACTGTGTTCTCATCCAGAATTACCATTTCTTTCCAGGAAACTAACAACTCACGACGAAGGCTGGTCAATGCTGTCAATGGAGATCTTGCTGAAATCACAGACTGTGGGACCAACAACCTATTTGAACTCAACACCACCAAAACTCAAGCCTGTATTTTCTCTAGAAAGGCGGAACTCAGTATGCCTGATATAACAGTGTCTGGTATCACCATTCCCACAATCCACTATAGGGATATTTCAATCACAATACCCGTCATGGTTAAATCTGATAATCCCATTTCATTGTGTTTAACCTTGACGTCATTTCCGTTTAGGTACACGTCCCCCACATGTCCTTTATTACATATCAATGAAGTAAATGTCGAAGGACGATATGCACGAGCAAATGTAAAGAAGGTTACCAAATTATAGAGTGTAGTGATTATAGAAAATAAAAGATTCATCTAGGTATTTTTAGGTTTCCAGATGACAAGCGCCTTAAACAATATGTTTTGGATCTCTATAAGGCTCCAACTATCTCTCCTCTCCTCATTAGGAACATGCGATAGAAATCTGATTCTAGGTTATGATCTATCCCGTAGGATTCAAAGAAATGAGGATTCCTGAAATGATGACACCTCATACTTCTTATCAGAGAAGTGAATGTGGCAATACTCTGATGATTCTCTTTATTCAAATGAAGTAATGTTTCTTTCTCCTAATAAATCAGAGGTCAATTCATCTATCAACAACTTGGTTGCAGACAACTTGATTTTTTTTATTTTTCATTTTTAGAGATGGTTAGGTTAATTCACACATTAACAATAAAACCTAGATGAACAACAATTCTGTTCTGAAAGAATTAGGAATTCAAAATAAGTTAATATTGACGTCATTATGACGTAGCTGCCTCCCACCACCTTCAACAAAATACTGTACTGGGTTTAACGGGTAAAGTGAATGAAATATTCCTTGTATCAGCAATACTCTTTCATGGGAAAATCATGTCAGATCCATCGCTAAAGCTGCTTCACAAAAACTCATATTTTTATTCTGAGCGAAAAGCTACTTCACATCTCAACAGTGTCTCATGATCTACAAAGCACAGGTACAGGTCTTAGAATACTGTTTAGACATATGGGGTTCGGCACACAAACATACGCTGATCCTCTTAGATTTCATTCAAAGACAAGCCATTTGCCTGGTTGGTGATGCCACACTGACGAATTCCTTGACATCACTGGAACACTGTAGGAAAGTTGACGACCTTTCACTTTTCTATAGATACTGCAACGGAAGATGTTGTTCAGTAATATTTGCTATCATTCCATCAGTCATACGTACTCGACAAGCCCATTTAGTTCATCCTTGCGTCATCAACCTTGAAATTCGTCGAACAACTCTTTACCAGAACTCGTTTGTCTATAGAACGGTAAAGCTTTAGAATTCTTTGTCAAAGGAAGAATTTCCAAGAACTTATAATCTCCAAGACCTCACAAATAAATTCAATTTTTTTTTATCGCTTGGAGCGCACGAAATTAAAATAGTAGATAGTGTCAAAAGGGCAGGAAATGAGCTGCAGCAGCTTGCGGATATCAGCTTCACGAGCGAAGCGAGGACAGTTAAGGCCTGCTAAAGCGTTTTCTGCATGTGTGACACACAACTGTTTTTCGCCTATCAGAAACATAATAATTGTTTTCTTGATTCAGAACTTTGCTTCACACTGACGTTTGATGAGAATTTACGTGAAACGTCAAAACTAAAGTGTCAGGATGATGAAAAACTAAAAAATCGCTTACATACATT